CTAATTAAAAAAGTATGAGGGGGTTGATAAAGGCATTTAAAGAAAAAGACCATAACTTAATTTTGTTAGGGATACTGCCCAGAATTAATTGTGGGGATGAAGTTATAAGTAGGTCATTAGGGCTAAATGCTAGGCTTAGGTTAGTATGTAAGTATGAGCAGATTGGCTGGTTGGACTTATGGGATCAGTTCAGTGGGAGAAGGGAGCTTTTTGCAATGGATGGTTTACATTTAGATAGAGTAGGGGCTGGCTTGTTTGCTAAGGCTATTAACTCAGCTGTAAGGGGAGTTTTAAACTAGGACTAGACAGTGGTGAGGACCAGGAAAAACTAAATGCAAAAAGAATAAGGGGCAAAGAAAAGTTTAGCAAAGGAAATGAGTATAGAAGTAGTTATAAGGATAGATTTAATTGTTGCTGTTGTAATGCTAGAAATATAAGAAATAAAATAGATGACTTTAGAGCACTGGTAGGAATGGAGGATTTTGATATAATGGTAATAACTGAAACATGGTTAAACATAGATGATTTTGATGACAGAATTTTTTTGAAATACAGGTTTACTGGCTATTTAATAGGGATAGAGTATTAAAGAGGGGAGGAGGAGTGGCTTTATATGTAAAATGTGAGTTACATATAGTTGAAGTTGAGGATATCAAAGATAATGGCAAAGAGATTGAATCCATTTGGGTTTCTATTAGTGGATATAAAGGGAAAAGGCTTTTAGTGGGAATTTGTTATAGACCACCAAATAATACTGATGAAATTAGTGAGAAACTTTAGAATGAGATTAAGATTTCAGCTGTTAATGAAGTCATAATTATGGGTGATTTTAATTTCTGGCATATAGATTGGAAAATTCTAGAATCAAACCATGAAGGAGAAAGGTTTCTGGAAACTGTTCAGGATAGCTTTCTTCACCAGTTAGTAAAGGAACCAACTAGAAACAATGCCATTATAGACTTATTGTTAACTTCAAATACAGAAATGATTGAGAGGGTGGAAATTGGGGAACAATGTTTTGCTGCATATGGAGATAAGGAATAATGATATTTTGGTTACAAATTTAAAAAAAGGAAATTTTGAAAGGATGCGACAAGAGTTATCTGTTGTAAATTGCGCAGCTGAGTTACTTGGAAAAACTGATCAGATGTAGAAAATTTTTAAAGATATATTTTTAAATATTCAATATAAACATATTCCTAATAGAAAGAAAAGGGTAGCTGCAAGTGAA